CCTTATCTCCTGTGCAGAAAACTTACTTGCACACCAGACCCATATACCCAGCTATATCTTGAACATCTCTACGTGGATGATGCATAGAGATTAGTCTAAAACTGATTTTCCCCCTAACCTACTCTTCCTGCTGGCGTTTCTTATCTCAACAAAAGGTACCATCATCCACCTGGCCACACCAGCCAGAACCCTGGGAATCTTCTCAATTCTTCCTGTTCTTTCACCTTTCAGATACCAGCTATGACTATATCCTATATTCTGCTTCTAAAATGTGTCAAAGTTAAAAGGTCAGGAGATTTAGGAGCCAATCCTGACTCTGACACTAATCTCACTAAGGCAAGGTAAGACACTGGGCAAGTTTCTACTCCAGCCCCTTACTTGTAAATTGGGATGGGGAGGGTCTTTTTGTTCTCCAAATCTGCAATCCCCTGGGTTCTCTTTCCAGCCAAAGGTCCCTACAGACTCTAATATGTGCCATGATTAAATCCCATCTTGTACCACCTTGAGGATTTGATTGCTTTCCACGGTAAGGCTAGGTGTGCAGCTGCTTCCACCACCCTTCCAGAATAAACATTTGCTAAGTTTAGGGCACCCATGACACTCCCTCTGGACACCCTCTCTCTAGCCATATGGTTTTGCTCTGTTTTTCTGAACACAGGCTGTACTATCACAACCATGGGCCTTTGCTCAAGCTCTTCTCTCAGCAAGAATGCCATTGTCCCCTAAGTGGCTGAGGCAGCACCTGGCACAGAGGGTGCTCAGTATATGTTGGTGACAGGAGAGCCATGTTTAAATCACTGCAGTTCCCTCTCACCAGACAGAGACTCAAAAGCACAGGCAATAACAAGACAAGTGAACAAAGTTCCAAGGAAAAAGACCTCTACTTAACATATAAAAGCCTCCCCACAGCATAAGGTAGTAAGTGCTCTGTCACTGGTGGCATGTAAGCCAAGAGAGGCAGGGCACCTGTCAGGCCTGCAGCTCTGATTCCAATTCTGCAGCAAACCAGAGCCCTACTTAGGGGATGAATGGGCACTGGTGAGCTGGACACACAAACGGGGGAGAGACCTGTGAAAAAGACCTCTGCACCGACTCCAACCTTCCAGATTTCATCTTCCTACTGGGACTAGTCCTGGGCATATGCTATCCACATCAGAGACCCCCACACCAGGAACAAGCCCAGGACCTGCCTTCAGTCAGACCGACCTCTCTGGGGTGCAGCCTGCCCCTCCAACCTGCAACCATCTGTCCCTGCAGGTTTGCAGCCCAGGATCTGAAGCCAAGTCCAGAAGGGAGGAGGCTGGAACCAGGGAGGGGCCTGGGGTCCTCCAGGCAGGGCCCAGGCTGAAGGGGAACCAGAGGGGTCTTTTCCTACAACAAGCAGCCTCCGGATCAGGCTTCTTGTCAAGGGAGCAGCTCTAGAGGAGGAAAGAGTGTCCTCCACCCTGGCTGGTGGGCTTCTGGGTGGCTGAGGAGGATGGTGGGGGAAGCTAGGGGTGGAAGTGTCTGCACCCAGGGAGAAAGGAACCCTTCAGACAAGCTGGGCCACAAGATTCCAGAGTTCCATTCAGCAACCCCACCCGCCAAACCACCACCACCCTCGGCCGCAGCGTTCGACACCCTCCGCCAACATACACAAGCTCCCAAACCCCGCGCTCCTCCAAGGAACCATCACCCATCCACCCGCGCCTCCCCCCTCAAACATGGACCTCACGTGAGCAGCCACAGCCCGAAGAATCCCCCCACTGCTCTCACAGACACGGACACGCCTCACGTGGACAGAGACAGGCACAGCTTTTGAAAAGCATCTGTGCCCCCACCCACAGACACTCGGACAGACACACCGCGGCTCGGACCTGGACGCGGACCCGAGCAAACAGGGACACAAACGCACCCCTGGGGGCCGCCCGTCGCACTCACCGCGGCGGAGCAGGATGGGAGGGCCAAGGCCCAGACTGCGGCCACTCGGAGCGGCCCGCGGCGCTGCCCCCGCTGCCAGCGCCCGTCCGCCCGGCCCTGCCCGCGGCGCCGCCCCACGTCCCGCGCCTCCGCCTGTCCCCGCGCCGGCGCCGCCGCCGGACCAGCCGCACAGGCCGGAGGGAGGGGCCGGGGCGGGGCTGCAGACCCGCCGGGGGAGGGGGCGGCTCGGGTGCTGAAGACCCACCCACGGCCCGCCCGCCGCCGCGGAGGCCCCGCCCCCTTTTACCCCACCCGCCGGGCTCCCCCAACCCCCTCGAGGCTCCTACGGGAGCTGCCTCAGCCGGCGGGTTGGGGAACGCGTGAGCCGGATCCCGGATCCACGATCTCTGCCAGCTGCCTCTGGCTCCCGACCGCTCCGGGGCAGGTCTCAGGAACTGGGCTGAGGCTCCGTCAAGGAAACGCAGCTGGGCAGCAGAGATTTCGGACTCTGGGAGCCGGTCCGGGCCCTCCAGGAGGTGCACTTCCCAGCTTTCTTCGGGGGCTCCTTGGGAATATGCTAGTGTGCTCTCTGCTGCGGCAGGGGGATACGGGATAGTCCGTACCTCGGCATGGATCTCTGGGCGACGGAAGGGCCTCCAGGTGGAAGCACAGCACCCAAAGCGCTAGGAGAAGGGGCGGACGGGGTGGTGAAAGGTGGGGGACTTGATTTGGCTGTAGGTGAGGAGACCCCTCGCGAGGAGATTATGGTTCAGACCATCCAGCGACTCCCTTCCACACTCCAAAAAACCAGAGCAATTCAGAATCATCACATTGTGGAAAAGCAGCCCCGGTGGTAAATAATAAAAATTATAATAACAGCTAACAGGGACTGAGTGCTTATTATGTGCCAGACACATAACGAATCACTTTACATATATTATCTCCTTAATACTCATAATCTTAATAGGTATCCTCTTTTATTAGATGTGTTTTACAGCGGAAGAAACTGAGGGCCCTTGGCTCCCCAGACGTTAACCCTGATCAGCTAACTCACTTAGAAAGTGGTGTAGCTATGGTTTGAGCTCTGCTTTAGATCTTGCTCCCAATCACCTGGAGATTCAGTACATTTCATGTTGGAAGTCCCCAGTGGCCCATAAAGTGGGGGGCTGTATGTGGACCACCCAACCTAATAATCAAGCTCCAGTCAGATGACTGCAGGCTGACCAAAACCCAGAAAGGCTGCCTGGAAGCTGCAGAGTCAGTGACAAAGAGCAAAATCAGGCTGCATGGATCTCAGTGCTATGACAATCTGCTGACTGGGTTGTCCCCTTCTTCCAGCTCTTGAGAGAGGTAGGGGAGAATGTTGAAAAATTCTGGAGCTCTCCTTGGCCAAGAAGCACAGAAGTGATGGTACCAAGGCCCTGATTGAATCAAAGTGCTGTTGGGGGTACTTTCTTGCCCCACACAAAGTTGATAAGGGCTCAACACCTGGGTGCACCCTCAACCTCTCATCCACCTGATGAGGTCTGGCACCCAGCACAGGTGCTCCAATGTTTGTGAATGAGCCTCAGCATTCATGCTTGCTTTGGGGTTTTGGGCCAGGGCCACTAGACTATCCAATGTAAGGGAGCCAGGGTCTGTATAACACTATTTCAAGCCTCATGAGGACTACTTTCCTCAACCTTAGATTTCTCCCATCCCATCAAACTGGCGCTTGAAAAAGCATCACAGCTACCTTTCTCCTCTAAAGGCAAAAGTCCTTAATGAGCCTGAACAGGCCCAGTGTGACTCCTTGCTGCCTCACTTCCCTAGCCCTCCTCTAGCCACTCCCCTTCCACTTTTCATTCCAAAGTGAATTGCACCCTGGTCCTCTCGGGGCTTACACATACGCTGGCCTCTCTGCCTAGGTTGCTCTTCTCCCTATTGCTTGCCTGGCTGTGCCTACTTGCTGTTCAGTTCTTAGTTTTCAAGTTGACATCCCATCTCCGCTGCAGACTGGGCTAGACACCCCTCCTCTGCACTCCCATAGCTCCCTGAACTTCTGTATCCTAGTACTCATTACTGTATTGTAGTTGCCTGGTTACTTGTCTCTATCCCCCACTAGGCCATGAGCGCTGTGGGCAGGGACTGTGTTTTATTCACTGATGTTTCCCCAGGGTCTAGTGCAGTGCCTGGCAAATAAAAGCACTCAGTAAATATTTGCTGTATGAATGAGTGGATGATGAAGGTCAGCGGGCCCAACCCCCTCTAGGCCCCATGCTCTGAAGACCATAGCTATCTGGGTGCTGGCCTAAAGAGCAAATAAAGCTTCAGCTCCAGCTGGGGCTGGGGGAAGAGTAGGATCTCAGACTGTTCCTGAAACCTGTGACTTCAGCTATCTGGTCTCTGCTCTTCTGACTTGATAGGATTTTGGTGTATGATTAGACTGAGTATTTCTCCACCCAGCCCACCCTCCTAGAGTCCCCCCCACAAATTGACCTCACTGGTCCTGCTTTTATGAAAGGTTTATTCCTAGTGCTAGTTCCCAATCTTCCAGGGCTCTAAGCACAATTAAACTGGGTGGGTTGGTGAGGGGAAGCCCATTCAGATGCAGGGCCAGAAATGGGGCTCCCCATTATCCCCACCCCTTTGGTCCCAGTCCCCTTCTCTGCATTGGGGACGCATAGAGGAGGGACAAAGGGTATTGGAGGCAACATCATTGGCTCAGGGGAGCCCAAGAAGAGCTGCCATTGGCTGACAGGGCCTTTTGAGACTCTGCCATTGGTCAGGGGGCACACCCCAGGAGCTGGGGATAGGCCTGAGGAGTAATGCCATTGGCCAGGGAGTGGTTTTGTCATAGCCTTTGGCTGTGGAGTGGAAGGAAAAGATCTGGGAATGAAGCCCAGTGGCCAGGAAGATAAAGGACAGGGCAGCAGCTGCTGGGCCTGCAGGCCCTCTCCCTACCACAGCAGTGTGGGCAAAACTGGTATGAGGCCCCAGCAAGGGAAAGGGAACCCAAGCCAGAGGGCAGGTGGCAAGGGATGTCCCATGTCCAATCTCTCCCACCCTGGGACTGCCTCTCCCAATGTCCTTCTTGATAGCCAGGTTTGGCTAGGAGCAGCTCACTGCTCCTCTAGCCAGGAGGGCTTCTCGGCTCCTGGAGGCCGCAGCTTGATGTTGAACTGCTGCAGGGTCTGCTCCAGTTGTTTCTGGTTCCCAGCAAAGTAGGCTGACACGGCATTGTGGAAGAGCAGCAGCTGCTTGTGCATCACCTTGATCTGGGGGTCCAGCAGGGTCAGCTGAGACTGGACTCAGATGCCCTTCTTGAGCCTGAGCCCAGACCAGGGGTACATGGATTCTGCTCTGATGGTGCTTTCAGGGTGGGGGTTGACCGCCACTAATGGAGTCAAAGGATAAGGGCAATCTGATGGGAGAAACCTGACTTGATTTGCTGGATCTGGCATTCTGGTACCCCAGCCCCGGGTGGGGTGATTTTTCCCAGTTATGTTCCTGGGATCAGCAACCAAATCCTCCAATAGAAAAGGGCCAGGGATTGGAGGGTAGGTGACTGGAAAGGTTCAGGAGTTGAAGGGGCTGGAGGAAAGATCCCACTTCTTAGCCAGGCTGCATTTCCCCATCCAGTGATGGGGAGGGTCTTAGGGGTAGAAGGTCAGTGTTATAGATGGGAAAGTGGACTGGGGTCAAAGGGGTGGGGTTGGCACCTTGTTTTCTTCCAGGAACTTGAGCTTGATGGCCACATCTCCCCGCAGCTTCTCATATTTGTCCCGATGGGCCTGGAAAGTGGCCTGGGCACTCTCGAGTCGACCACGCGTCCCTGCATCCCGGGGGCCTAGGCTCAGCTCCTCTAAGTCTGTTCGGTAGGCATCATATTCCAGCCTGGGGAAGGGTAATACAGGCTGGTCTCCACCCCTGTGTCCACATATACTTTCCTTTCCTTCCTCAATTCTTACGACCCCAAAGCTCAAACTTCCACCCATGCCAGCCAACTCCCAAAACCCTGGGCCCTGCTGGTGCCCACACCTGGCAGCCTCATACTGTTTGACAGTCATGAGCGTGTCTTCCATGGTCTTGGTGACCAATGTATTGATGCTAGAGACAAAGAAGTTCACAGCCCCTAGCAGTGTCTCTCCATTCTTGCACAGCAGCTTCTGTGTCTCTGCATTGTATCCAAATTCCTCCTGGAGGCAGAAGGGGAGGACAGGCCTTGAGTAACAGTTCCTACCTGAATCAAGCTGTAGGGCCCTCATTCCCCTCCTCCCCAGGAAGGAAACAGCCATTGAAACTGGAACAACCAAGGACTGTCTCCAGCAAGGCTCTCTTAGCCAGAAAGTTAGTGGGACCACCCAGAAATGCCTAGGGTAGGAATGTGGGAGTGGGGTTCTCAGATAAGTTCACAGGACTGGAATAGGGAAAGCTAGTGCAGCAGGCAAGGGAGGGGCTCTGATTAGGCCGAGCACTGATGCAGAGAAGGGTTACTTGTGAGGCATCTAGTGTGCCATCTCCCCCACCCCTCCAACTTCTGAACCTCTGTACAAACCCTTAGGCTGCCTCCACAGGTGAGTGCTGCTGGGGGTAGGGCTGAGCCCACCCTGGAGGGGTTCTCCCTCTGGGCTGCAGGAGGGAGGGAGGGAGGGAGGCTGAGGGCTGACTGCCTGGGAGGGCCCGGGCCCAGTCTCCCCACCCTCTTTGGCCTGACCAAGGCACCTGAAGCTCTGGGGACTTCTGGCTGAGGTCAGCAAAGGCGTCACCTAGTGCATGCTGGGTCTGCAGCAGGCTGTAGAGATGGGCTGTCAGTGCCCGGCCCAGCTGCAGGACACTCTCATACTTGCGCTTCGTCTCACGCAGCAACTCAATCTGCAGCTCTAGCTCCAGGTCCACAGTCCGGGAGCCTCGGCCGAATCTTTCTGACAACAGCTGCTTTGTGCACTGATTGGGAAGTGGGAGAATAAGTCAGAGCCCTAGCACCCTGCCCCCTGCCGCCCCTCCAAACAGATATCTACCCTAGCATCCCCAGGCTCCTAGTCTCAGCCGTAGATGGGATAGTGGAATTCAGAAGATGGGGAAAAGGTACCCAGGGGGACTCTGGGGGAAGGGAAAGGTATTTAAATCCCACCTTATATGTATTGATGCCCCATTTCTTGACGATGTCAAACTTCTCTCCGGCGATGCCCCGAGCCACCTCATCTCCGGGGCCAGCAGGAGTGGTACTGTGAGATGGATGGCGGCCAGACCCTAAAGGACCAAGTTCTCTGACACCAGCCTCTCTCAGACATAATCAGATGTCTCTGTGGCTCCACCCGTACCTCCCACCCAGCATATGAAAATTGCTTCCCTGAAGTAGCAGAAACTAGGGACAATGAGATTCTCCTACTCACTAGGAAGAACTCATACCTTGTGCCCTAAGACCCATATCCCAATATACATCTGGCCTCCTTTTGAGGTGGTGATGGGGGCTGGAGTGGGGGAGGGAGTTGCTGGTGTACGGGGACAGAGGAAACAGAAAAAAATACACTGAATATGGGGTGGCAGGTCAAGGATGGTGGATCCTGAAAGCAAGAAACCTCACTAACATTCCCATGTGGAATCTTAGTGTGAGATTCAGGGCTGTTTGCTCCTCTAAGCTTTAGAGTCTAAAGTAAAACGCTACGAAGCTTCAGAGTTCCAAATCAGGCTCAAGCTCTAGAGCAGGGAGAACTTCTGTGAAACAGAGTTCTTAACATGATTTGGGTGGTGGCAGCAGAGAAAGAACAAATGGACACATCTCAGGGGCTAAATGGCAAGTGGGAGCAACTGGACAACCCTGGGCTGAGGACAGTCCATAAGGTTCATACTAGCAGAAGTTCCCAAGATCTCCAGTCATAATTCAAGCTTTCTTTGACACATCCTATACTCCCCAGAACCATTCCTCTCCCTCTCTCCACTCAAGCTTCCTGTCCTGTTCTGATCATTCATACCTGTGGGGATGAGTCCATCACCAGAGCCCCCATAGCCACCAGACACAATGCTGGTTTCATTGAGGTTGGGTCCTGACACCATCACCTGCTGGAGGTCCTATAGGCCAGAGAAGAGGGGGGCTTCAGGAACATAGGGGCAGCTGAAGCATTTGGGGGGTGAGAACAAGCTTGAAGCATCACAGAGAGAGCACACAAGGGAAGTCTGCATAGAATCAGAACGAAGATTTGTAAAAAGATTGGAGGGAGTTAGATAAGTTAGGGGAAGTCTACTGGAATGGGGTGAAAGGCCAGGGCTTATGATTTGGGATTCCTAAATTGAAACAATATGGAGAAGAATCAAACAGAAGCACCTGCTCCAGCCCATCATCCTCAGGAAGCTGCCCCGCTTCACCATTCCCGTGGATGGGGATCTCCATTGTGGCTGCCTTCCCTAGGATCCCGTCCGTCATGGCTAGGGAAGGGATTGGAGTCAAAGTCTCCACCCCAGCGCCCTGCAAAGCCCAACACAGACAATTCTGGAAAGTGGCCAGTACTCCAGAAAGAAAGGTTTCCCCACCATTTCAGAACTTTTGGAGGCTGTCCTAGGACTTGAGTATTCTGGGGTTTGGCCACGACTCCTTTCTTCTCACAGATATGTCTTTCTCCTCTCCAAGGTGCATTCTTTTTACACATGCACACCCGGGCCCCAGGTGTCTTCTTGTGAACCCTCAATCCCACCAGGGCCCCGGTGATCATTCATGCATTCAGTCATTTGACCGACATCTAATGAGTGCCTACTATGTCTCATGCATTATTTGAGGTCACAGCAGTGACCAAGAGAGATAAAGTCTGTGCTGTCTTGAAGCTTATCCCCATGCAGCTGTTTCCCCCCATCCGATTAACCCCTTTCCAAGGCTCAGGAGCCTACTCCTCCCATTCAGGTATGTTCTCCATTGCTGCTTGGCCTTTCACACTCCTGTAGTGTTTCTTCCCCTTTTCTTCAGGGGTCTCCCTCTCCTCCATCTCATGCACCTCCTCTTCCTCGCCCCAGGCCTTAGTTGAATCAGTTGGTGTATATTCCCGGCCTCTGAGTAAAGCCTCTTTTTCCCAAGACATAGGTGATCCCTTCCAAAGTCAGTTATGTCCCCCAGGTGTGTGAGTCCCCGCCCCCCCCCACCCCTCACACCTGGGCATCAGGTGTGCCCTCATCCTTCCCCAGAGCTCAGTGGCATCTTTCCCTCAGGGCAGGTTCGTGCGTTCAACTTCCCCTCGCCCAAGTCTGTTCTCCTCCCCTCGGGCCGGGCCGCTTTTCCCCTCAGGGCGCCAGGCCCGGGCCGCGCGGGGACCTCGGGCTCCAGTTCCCGTCGCGATCCTAGCAGCAGGTCAGGGATTCGGCGGAAGTGACGTCCCCTCCCGGGCAGAAGAAGCCGGCCACGTCGCAGATTATAAGGGCGGAGATGACGTTAAAGCCCGGGGCAGGGCGATCCTGGAGCCAACCCCTCATTCCCTGGGGAGGGAGGAGAGATCACTTCCGGGGCGTTGCCAAGAAGCTGTGGGGAAGTGACGTAGGGTGCGCGGGTGGTGCGATGGAGCCGCAGCAGCCACAGCAGCAGCAGCAGCAGCAGCAGCAGCAGCAGCTGAGAAACGTGAGTGCGCGCTAAGTCGCTGCAGGGCCATAAGTTCAGCCAGCATCCTTGTCCGTTTGGTTGGAGATCTGAGGGCTGGGAATGTCGGGCTGTGGCACAGGGTCCTGGGAAATCTCGGGCGATGCGGCCTTGAGTTGCCCCCTTACCGCTGAGTTCTTTGTCCCCTTTTCTCTTAGTTGCGGGACTTCCTGTTGGTCTACAATCGGATGACGGAACTCTGCTTCCAGCGCTGCGTGCCCAGCTTGCACCACCGAGCTCTGGATGCTGAGGAGGTTAGGCGGGAAACTCAGTAGGGAGGTGCGCCGTAGATCCTTCCCAACCGCCACTCCCCTGCCTCTGGCCCTGGCCTTTCTACGACCCTCACCCTTAGGTTAGGGATGGGAAGGAAGGAGGCGGACCCGACAGGACACCTTTGGCCTCTGCTTCACCCTGTCTTCCTTCCAGGAGGCCTGTTTGCACAGCTGTGCTGGAAAGCTGATCCATTCCAACCACCGCCTCATGGCCGCTTACGTGCAGCTCATGCCTGCCCTGGTACAGCGCCGCATCGCAGACTACGAGGCTGCCTCAGCTGGGCCAGGTGTTGCTGCTGAACAGCCCGGAACCTCACCATCAGGCAGCTAGCCCTCCTCAACCCCAGGAAGGGAGGCACTGGATGGACCCTCAAATTGAAGGAGCCAGTGGACCTTGGGCTGAATGCAGCCTGTATGTAGAGTGAGGGATTGCCTGAGAGCTGGGTACTATTGCTCCTTTTCCTGGAGCCAATAAACCCGCTTTTACTCTGTTTGGTTTATGTTCTGGGCAGGAAGCTTTGCCCACTTTGTTGGCAACATCCTTTATTCTGTCAGTTATTGCATATCTGCTGGCCTCAGCCCTGGCAGTGGAGAAATTGCCTTCTATGTGTAGAAGATTCCCCGGCGCCTGGTTAAAGCAAGGTCTGTGGGTACAATTTTGATGTTGGTAATAGCAACAGGAAGCTGGTTCCTGCCCAAATGACAGAGAAAATGAGAGCTCTTTCTAGCTGTCCTTCACTTAAGTCTGTCTGACTTAAATGGCTCATTTGTGAGCCAGGTATGCATTCATTCATAACTATTTTTTCATGGACTCTATCTTTCAAGAAGAAATTCTGCTAAATTTAGGGAAAAGAGGAGATCTCTAAGGACAACAGATCAAGAAATCACAGGGCTTCTAGGGACTGCCTCTTGGGAAGTCAGTAGTCCCAGAACAGAGTTGAAACCTATATGAATTTTGGGGAGTTGTGGAACTTCAACCATTTCCCCAAGTTGTTACTTTTTTACTATTTTCCCTCTTCCCCAGGATAAGCAGTACAGCGTTTAAATAGAGAAGGTCTGTGTGCTTGTCTTCAGGAGCGGTCAGAAAGGGGAAACTTGAGGGACCGTATTCTGCAATACAGCCAGATCTGAGGGAGAGAACCCAAGGGAGAAGTAGATGATGGTAGTTATGGGGGGCAAAGGGGATAATGCAAATCTTTGGGACCTCTTTAATGTTACCTGCATGTCTATAATCTAATTCCAGCTCTTCTATCTTCTATCCCACATTGTTTCCACTGTCTCTGTTCTGTTATTTCCATGTTGAGCTTCTCCATTTTTCCCTCATTATTGCCCTCCTTGTGGAATTTATTCTGTATTCACCAGCCTGAATGGCCTATCACTCTGTCACCACATTTTCTTGCCTCCTCTGTGTCCTTGTTGTATCATTCCAGCTGTTTTATCTTTTCTGGTCCTCTATTCAGACTGCTAGAGAAAAACACGGCTGTGTAATGCATGCCACTAAGTATTCAAGGTCTCCAACCTCAACCAAGCCCTCACTACCAACAGGCAATCAATCCTTTCTCAGTTCGTGGTGTGTTTCATCTCTCTTTTTTTTTTTTTTAAAGAAATTTTTTAATGTTTATTTATTCTTGTGAGAGAGAGAGACACGGAGCAGAGTGAGAGACGGACGCAGAATCCAAAGCAAGCTTCAGGCTCTGAGGGTCAGCACAGGGCCCCATGTGGGGCTTGAACTCACAAGCCATGAAGTCATGATCTGAGCTGAAGTTGGAGGCTTAACCGACTGAGCCACCCAGGTGCCCTTCATCTCCTATAATTACCATGGCAATTATTTTACACCTTCACTGCTCTCATCCCCCACTTCACCCTCAACTACCCCCCATCAGGTGACCATGTTCTATTTTTTACAGAGGAAATGGAAGCTCTTAGACATTGGCTCCCACAATAATTAAACTCTTTATAACCATGCACAAAAGAGACATTTTTCTCCCCTGTGTGGATCAGGAAGTTGAAATTCTTTAGTAGCAGACCCTATTTTAAAATATAGACCTAACCTTTTTTTTTTTTTTTTTTTTTTAATGTTTGTTTATATTTGAGAGCACAAGTTGGGAAGGGGCAGAGAGACAGGGAGAGAATCCCAAGCAGGCTCTGTGCTGTCGGTGCAGAGCCTGATGTGGGACTCAAACTCTCAAACCATGAGATCATGACCTGAGCCAAGATCCAGAGTCAGATGCTTAACCGACTGATTCACCCAGGTGCCCCTAGATCTGACTTTAAAATCCATGTTCTTTTTACTACACCAGGCTGCCTCAAAATATCCATTAAACCACCCAATTCGTATGGGTTCTGATACTGATATGTCTTAATCTCTATAGCAAAACTACAAGTAAGAGGTATTATTCCCATTTAATGGATGAAGAAGCAAGAATCCAGAATGTACCAGAACCCCATCTTATACATAATTACTTCTTGAGAAAAGTGGCTCCAAACAGCTTTTTGCCTCTTTAGCTGCTATACTTTGAACAGAAGGTTTTGTTAGGAATGTAGAAGTTGCTGACCAGGAACTTCCCTACTGAGTGGCTTCATGTCTACTCAATAGAATTCTGTCCTCGAAAAGTACAAGTGCAGGTGAAACCACTTGTAAATGTAACAATTCCAAGATGGGGGGAATGGGGACCTAGAATATTTTGCTGCTGCTGAGAGGACTCTTCCGCATGGATGTTCGTGTGTATCCTTGCGCCAGTAAATTTCCATTGTGAATTGTCTGGGTTTCCATGCCACATAACTTCTGCTTGCTGGAGAAGGACCAGGAACAAAATCTGTCTGGCTCTAAAGGCTTTGAACTTGCAGAGGCTTATCTTTGCTTGTTCATCTGTACCCAACCTGTCCCTAGGCATGGGGAAAAACAGGTATCTCAATCTAATCCATCATTTAATCTCTAACTTTTTAACCTCTTCTTTCCTCTCTGTTTATAAATATGTTCAGTACTTGGAAGAAGAATCCTACTCCTGTTATCCCTGTTATCCATCTGCTCTAGTCACGTCTCCTTCCGGTCTTGCCATAAAGTGATAGCCATTGGCATAACGAAAACAATGTGATGTTTCAAGCACAACACAAGAATAAGTGTTAAAGCTTTATCCCTTATATGTACATACTGGAGATAGCGTTCATGTTCTTGCCATTGTAGCTTTAGAACTTGTTTGCAAATTCTGATTCCTTGGAACCTATTCAGCTATACTACAGTTTCTCATTACTGTCCTTAGTAACCACCACTCTCCTATTTTCCTCTAAATAGCTAGCCCTTGGTCTTCCTATCAATCCCTTGATACTTTAATATTACATGGACAGTCCATTCAATATTTTGGCTGCTTGAACCAGTCAAGTTCCTTGACCCAGTCTCCAATAATTTTCACTCTATCTTAGCCACCCACTCCCTTAGTTATGTCCTGGCCGTTGTCATTACCCCAAACTGCTCCATCTTTAAAACACAATTACCAGCATCTTATTCACTGACTGTATTCCTTCCACTTTATTGATCTATTTCTCTACTATTATTCCTTGATTTCACTGGAGCATTCAAGCCATTGATTCTACCTTCTCTCCACTAACACCTTCTGTCTTTCTGTTCCTGTCCAGCTTAAATTCCAGTCACTCTCTTGGAACAGACTAAATTTCTCTGTCATCTCTTTGTTGGAATCTGATAAAATAGGACATTTGTCTGCCTGCATTTGGACAGCTAAAAGCCCAAGGAAATCACCACATAGCAGATTTACATCACAATGAATTCATGATTACCAGCGTCAACTGGGGTCTCAGCCCCTATAATCCCACTAGATTTTTTCTAGTCTCTCCCTGCAATGACTGTTTCAAACCAATATTCTTAAACCTCTTATTACCCTCACCATTCTCTCAAGTTTTCTACAGGTAACATTTTTTTAATTCATAGGTAAAAGTAGAAGCTATCAGTTGGGAGCTCCCACAAAATCTCAACAAAACTTGGTCACCCACCTACATCTGCATCATTCTCTTTCCCTCCTGTGTAAACAGAGCAAGTATGCCTCTTCAGGCCAATGCCTATTCCTGCCCTAAATACTAGTCCTTCTTTGGGAATCTCCGACATCGGTTTTCCTATTTTACTACATTCTCACCATTGTTTAAACATGCTAAAGACTTCCTGTAGTAACAGGCAAACCACCCTACCTTATTTCTCCTTCAGTTACCATCCTATGTTTCCCCCACTCTATAGCTTCTCAAAAACAGTTGGATACTTCGGCGCTCTCCATTCCCATTCATCCACCCACTCTGTTTTGACTTCTACAACCTTTATATTGAAATCTTCTTAATGAGGTTACCCTGGCTCACCAAGTGACTTTCATATCTCTGAATTCAGTGATGATTTCCCAGTCCTCAGTTTACTTCACTTCTCAATAGCATCTGGTAGTATTGGCTAGTTCCTCATCATTAGCAGTCTTTTGTTGGTGTCTGTGATTCCAGTCGTGGTTCTGCTACTTTCACTGCAGCTTCATAGCCTCCTTTGAGGCTCACCTGTCTCTGGCCTTTACATCTAAAGATTTCTCTAGGGCCTGTTCTTTCTCAGACATTTTTCTAGAATTGTTTCCTCCCTACTCCGAGCTTCAATTACTGATGACTCCCAGATCTCTCTTCTGAGTTACTTGATTGACATCCCCACTTAGGTGTCTTAAAAACATCCCCACCTCAACTATTTTCCTCATCAATTTTCATCTTATACCTAGTACTTCTCCAGTTGCAGAAGATAGGAACCTCACTCATCCCCTTATTCAGTTGCCAAATCCCATCAGTTTGCATTTTACATTTCTAAATAGCCCTTGATTCTGTCTGCTTCTCCCTGTCTTCACAATCTTCCACCAAGGTTACTGCAATTGCTACTTTACCTCATGTCCACTTTTGCATCCCTCCAATCTGTTCTCCATTCATAGGTCAGAGAACACAAACTGATACTTAAAACCTTGCAATAGCTTCCCATTCTTCTTAGGATAAAACACATTCTACGTGTGACCTGTGAGGCCTTGTATGATCCAGCCCTTGCCCACCTCAGCTTTATTTTATTGGCTGTGAAACATTGGACTGTCAGCACTGTTTGTTGAATTGAACCACACCTCACTTGTTCCCTCTCTGTGCTCTAACCACGTTGCCTTCTCAGTTCTAACCTGTCATGTGCTATTCAATCTCAGGGCCTTTGCACCTGCTATCTCCTGGCTTGCAGTGCTTTCCCCCTTACTTTACGTAGTTAACTTTTTTCATTCTTGAGTACTTAGTTTACATGCTGTTTCTTCAGATAACTCTTCCTAGACTCCAGCTCCCATATTTGCTCTTGTTTTTTGCATGTAACACTTCTAACAGTTGGTAATTAATTATATACCTCATGAGGTCACAGTCCCATGTCTGTATTGCTCACCATTGTATCCTTATCACATAATAT